ATACTGGGTGTGATATGGAAAAAGGTATGTATTATTCTCTATATACCGAAGCATCAATAAAACCGTATTTCGATCTTAAAATTGACAAAACTAGGGCAAATATAAAAAAAAACAAAAAACATTACTATTCATACTCTTGAAAAGTGAAAGGAGAGTAAGATAATGTGTCCCGGAAGGGAAATGTCTTCTTCTTCAACGGCGACACCCGCCATGAGAATCTAGGTCAAATCCAAGTAATGCTACGTGCTTAAAACCAGAATTGGGATAGTGAAACAGACAGTTAGGCATACAGAAAATAAACATCATAAAAAACGTCGACCTTCATACAATGTATCATTCAAAGACATACGCTATCAATGGTCTTCATCAATCTGCATCTTAGGAAGCCAAGTTGTGTTAGTTCGTCTGTCAGCAGTCGACATCTATCTCAGAAATCATAATATTGAGAACAAGCTCTTGAATACGAACGGATGTTACTATAAAGAATGGGAAAGTTCACGATTGGAAATCGAAATCATACCTTGACTATGACATCAGCCACCTTTGGCCATTTCCAGCGAAAGAACATCCCGACGGCGGCCGGGGTGATGGTCATGACGAAGGAGATAGCGATGTTGACGTAGGGGATGACCAGAGCCTCGTCAGTCCAGCTCCGACTGTAGATAAACAGATTCAGCGGCATCATCCCCATCGCCATGACAGTTGACGTTGCCGTCATCGCTACACTGGTAGAAAAGACCAAATGCTTACACAAATGGGAAATAACACGACCACAATACAACGTTGATGTTTCATGTGGTTTCAATATTTTATGTTACATTACAAGTGCTTTATGCGTTGACTTTTTCCTCTACCTCTCAAAAGTACGTTTGCGCTATTTACTTGTCCTACAAATGATAGGACGTTTGCGTCATCAACTTCACATGATGGGACATTTGCGTCATGTACTACACATAACGGGTTGTTGCGTCACCATCTTCACATGACGGGACTTTATATGTTATGTTACAATATGTTCGTGTTGCATGTATTATTTTTAACCTTAATAGATAGGTATATCATATGATGTTACCTGAGTGGGACGTCACCATCCATCCAATAGGAGAACACATTTGACGTTGAACCTCCAGGACACGAACCAATCACCAGCATTCCAAGCGCGGGATATGTAGACATCTGCAGCGCATGCGCAAGACCAAACGTGACCGCCGGAAGTACGATGAACTGAGAGAGCATGCCGATGGCGATACCAACCGGTCTCCTGAGGTGCTGGAGAAGAGGTTTGATCTCTATTGTGCTGCCCATGCCTGCCATGATGATGATAAGCGTGGTTTTTATTACGACATCAGAAGCAATCTTTAAGGCTGACGGTGAAGGTGGTACCATTGTCAGGTTAGCGGACGAGTTTGGGGACGGAGTTGTCAACTCGTAATAGCCGAACAAAAGGTCTAGCCCGGGAGTGGTCATGTCCAAAATGTAGGATATCACAGCTAAAGAATGAATGGAAAAGGGATAAGTAAGTACCAGTCCAAATTTTCATTGATCAAGTATCAGATTAAAGTCACAAAGCTCTGACGGTATCTTTGAGGGGATAAGGCGGAGAAAAAAAAATGCGTGTTTCGGGTTTTCCGACCGACCTTTTTTTTTTGCTACTGACCCTTTTTTTCCCAAGATGTTTTTTTGATTTCTAGAAAAAAAGGGGGAAAACGCTGCCCTTGCCCGTATTTCAATTAAGTCACTAGTAAATCTAGATCTAATAAACGTATACAGCAAATGAATGTATTTAAGCGCGCTCCTGATCCTGACTTTAATTTGGCTTCGGATGTATTGGCTTTTATGGTTTTAATGGGGAGATATGCGTTATAATTTTGACATGGTATGATTTTCTCAGGTGGCTTGTAGTTGTGATTACTGACTCGTTCTGTTTGCACTGCTTTTTGTGTGAGCTTAAATTTAACAAAAACAAGTCGTTAAGTTGGTTGCTATGAAACTCAAAAGTAACTGGGATGTAAGTTCAGTTTTGTTACTATGATTGGTGTAAAACACTTTATATTTGTGAAGTTGTCAACTTATATGAAGTGCATATCTTGTGTCTGATTCTACTTCTCCGTAAATACTTAATGTTGAAATTCAGATAAAAAAAAAAAGGAGAGACAAAAACCAGGTTTGTGCTTTTGTTTATTTCCATGTTGATGGAAAAAAACCTCCACAGCAATGGAATACCATAGTATCAACAGACAAGACACGATGAATGGAACATCAAAAGTGGACATCAGACAAGACGATAAATAGTTAGACAACAAAAACGGAAAACATAATATCTGAAAAATGCTAAGAATAACATGGTACTCCCAGCTTCCAGGATGTTCCCACCCCAACATACTGGAAAGTGACGACTTCATGTTTTATAGACCTGTATTAAATAGACCAATTAACAAACATGCATTAATTGATATTAAAACTCCACGGGAGATGTCCGTTGTAACATACAACATCCACACTTAGGATATCTGATTATCACACAAAGACCTGAAATTGAGGAACAAACAGAGAAGACTTTTTTTTTTCAAAAATCAAACAGCAAAGATGTTTCCTAAAAGTTCTGATAAGCATCTCACAATAGTATAATAGTACACACATGCGACACTAAGCCATTCACTAATCTAGCAAAAAAAAAAAAAAAAAAAAAAAACCCCAAAC